TGTAAGATAATCAGGGTTCTGTGTACACTGTCTCATGACCCACACTTGGTACTTATAATTCATACGACCCATATGCGTCTCCAACTATTGTCTCCAAAACCAACACAGGGGAGGAAGAGGTCACAATCAGATCCGACGAGATCTCCGTGGCCACAGCCAAGGCCAAATGCTGTCGCACACGCTGTCAAGATAGGCAACGGGACAGGCCGACGCACGTGTTTTTCTGAGAGATTGAGCATGGGGCATTTCCAACATAAGGATAGACTTTAGACCAGTCTTACTCGGTTGGAGGACTTGTTGAGTCGTTGACTTCACGTTGATTGGTGCACAATAATTAACCTAGATAATCTGGCCAGATCCCCCAACTACAGAAGCTCCTGGGTCAGCTGGGACGCCCATTGGCGAGCCGAACACCTTGCAAATGTGTCATGTAGTGGCAGAATACTGGCGAAACGCATGTCTGGGCCTTTTAGCTAGTACTTAGGCTGTTAGCAGGTCAAGGTATAACATCAATAAATACTACTACTGTCTGCCCGTTGGCAGTATGTGTATATTATGATGTGGCTGACGGAGTTTGGCTCAGGTATACACATCAAAGTTCGGTCTGTGCATAGAGACCTTAAATATACTGATGGATAACGAAAACAGAAATCCAACAGCTCTTGTTGGCAGATGGAGGAAGCGCGAAAATTAATCAGCAAAAAATATTTCATGTACAAACGATTTCCCTGCATATAATACGAATTGCCGTTGAATTACATATGCGGGCTGCAGTCTGCTTTGACTGGGCTTAAATTCGGGCAAAGGAAAGGAATCAGTGGCTCGTTCTAATGCGCTCCGTTTTGTGGGCGTAAATGTCTGCGTCTTATATATTTCATCAAAGTATATTGAAGTATCAAAGTATGTTATTTTTTTCTAGATAAACGCCAGCTTGTATTCGCAGGTTTTCCTCTCAGTTGTTTTTTCTTTCTTTTCCATGCATACCGTTTCCACCGTCGGCCTTTGATAGCAAAGTTATATGCAAGGTCACGGGTAAAGTGCGCATAAAATTGCTTCGACAAAAGGGGG